CAACATTTTGAATTTTATAAAACAAAAACAATTAAAAAATATTTAAAAATATATTTGACCCAATTTACAGCCATTAAATCAACAATATGCAGGTTATGACAGTATATTTTCCCCATTAATTGAGCCTCTTGTAGCAACAAAAATACAGCAGTTAAAAACCAACTACACTGTTCCCATTAAAGTTTTTATTAGATTTCAACCTGAAGTTATTTTGTTAATTTAAAATTTATTACTTTTTTTATGAGAGTGGGATTATATATTAAGTGCTACCCAAAAGTTTAGGTCTATGTCTGTGAAAAAATATTTACTTAACCTCACATTTAGTTTCCATAGTTTTTTTTTCAAAGTAGTTTCCTAGAGCCTTTATACAACTGCTCACAAAAGGTTGTGGCAAAAGTATATACAGCATTCTATTCTTGTTTAATTCTCTAATTTCCCTAGTTTTTAGGTAGCAACATATATTATTATTTTAAATCTGTTCCAAGAGGTAATTATTTTATAATGGTAAGGAAAAGCCTTTTATAAACTGGCCACAGGCAAACAATTAGTGCACACACAGACACACGCATTTTAATATTATATATATATATATATATATATATATATATAAAGCCTGTTTGCATGAAGTGAAAAAAAAGATACAAATATAATACATTAGCTTTGAAATTACACCAAGAGCAGCAAATGAAAATGACAAATTAACAGAAAGAAAAAAATTAAAAAGAAATGGGAGCCTAGTGTTGTATTTTAGCTGAAGTATTCAGATATAAAAAAAACAAAAAAGAAAAAAAAAAAGAAGTTTAAGGTGTGGGTTGAAAATGACAGAATTTAAAGAGTTAATCATTTTTATTCATCTTTTTACGAAGAAAAAAAAAATTAACAAATAAATAATGTAAGAATATAAAAGTCATATTTACGAAGATCTTCCTTTTTCAAATACACATATAAAAACTGTTCATTTGCTGAATCTAAACTGTAAACTACAAATTAAACACATTAATCATGAGATCATGTCTCTGTTCTTGAGGAAAAAAAGAAGAAAATGTATTGAGTCAACAATAATTTAAATTTCCATGCATTAGAAACATATCTTTACTATTTACTAATGTATGTTTTTCTGGTTTTGTTTTAACTATACTTAAAACCTGAATGGTTTTCAACTAAGATATAAGAAACTATTTTTATATTTTGCAGATTGCTTGAAATATACAAATATTTAGAACAAATATCTCTCTAATTTGTTAGTAAATACGTACTGCTATTTGCTCTGTATTTATATAACATTCTAGTGTGCAGTGGCAGACTGGGTCTAAAAATATTGGACAAACATGGACCTTCATGCCTGCCAAAAAAAAAAAAAAAAAAAAAAAAAAAAAGTGTCAAAAGGATGGTTTTTCCCTTGACACCACTATTATTTTAACTACCTTCACTTCTCAGTTTACTGTTTTTGTTGTAACTTAGGAAAGGTTACTGAATAGAGTAATCACATGAAGGTTGGTAATGAATGATAATACTTAGGACATGAACAACACATATAAGATTCACCAGCAGCATATAGAAGTAGTAGTCAACTGCTAGAAGCGAGTCAAGTGAATTCCACAATGAATCTCAAATTGCAGGATATCTATGAACTGCCCCATGTGGTCAGATGTGGCACAAGGCCGAATTTAATGGGGTATCCGAGCCCATAGGCCTGGCCAAAAATTCCCTGTAGACCCCGTATAAAACAGGGTTCGGTAGCTGTTGCCCTTTGACACAATCTCGTCTGGAGATTCTCTCTGGCTGGAGGCAGAGAGATGAACCAGCACAGCTGAAAACAAATCTCCAGCTGCAGACCAACATACAGTATTTACTACTGTGTTTATGTGAATGGGGACATACCATTATCGTCCATAGGTATGCTACAACAGTTTTAAAAAGTGATAAAAAATCTAAACATATGATGAAAGTGAATTTAATTTAAAAAAAATTAGATGTTTTTCATGATCTATATATACTGTATGAAAACTTAAAACCATGCATACCTACAGAAGTATTTTTCTTACTTCATACACATGCAAAGATAAACAGTTTTTTTTTTTTTATGGGTGCAGGATTTTGTTTTTATTATGAAATACATATAATTTTATCACCAATGCATAAAGAGGAAAACCTCATCAGTAAATTGTCAGATATTCCTATCTTTAAAGCCTCAATTGCTATATCACCTATCACAGTTCTTTAGAACAGAAATTGCTTGAGAGACTACTGAATTTACCTGTATATCAAAAAACTGCAGGAGGTGCATGAAGCTAATCAAAAGGAACATACAATTTTTGGAAGCCACTTAAATACAGAACTTATTTTAACCTAAAGCACTAAACTAATTAAGCAAAAGATGTTATTTCTAGACCAAACTATTCTTCTTTCTCGAACAGATAAGTGACTAAGTTCTAGAAAATTCTTGAACCATTCATGAAGACATTGAACTCATTTGAAAAAAAAAAAAAAAAAAACTAATATATATATATATATATATATATATATATATATATATATATATATATATATATATATTTCTTTTATTGTACTAAGTTACAAAAAAAACCCCACAAATACAACCATGTTAGTAGTGAGAAATATTTAAATTATAAGATAAACTAAAAATTACTTAAAATTATATTATAACATTTATCATTCAGTTTTCCTTTTCAAGATCTTGTGTTTTGAAGGATTAAGGTTAATTTTCAAAGAATTAGCCATTGATTAGTTTGAATTATCAAAGAAAAAAGCATGAGAAAAAAAATAAAAAAAATGAAGCCATCAGATACTGAAGAAAAAAGATGAAACTGATAAAACATTACATTTTTTTAAAATAAACAAAAATGTGTTATTTTTTTAGACTAATGAACAAGAATAAAATTGAATTAGAACAGATCCTAGAGATATGACAAATTGAAAAAAAGAAAAAAAGCAAAGAGAATAAAAGAGATTTATAAACTTTACCTAATCAGACTGTTACATTCATTCTTTATATTTTAACATGTAATTTTTCTTTTTGAAAACAATGATATATTTTAATAAACAATCAAGTGACCAATTCTGTTACCCCCAAGACAAAATTAGAATGGAAAAAAAAAAGAAGAGATTATCATTAAATTTGCTCTCTCAGAGATTGTGCAACTTTGTTTTTTTCTTAAATGGTGTTCATTATATACAAGGCCCAAGAGCCACTCGAGGTAGATGGTTACAGAGAAAGAGGTACAGCTTATGAGGATATGTGGGGAACAGTTAATCCTAAAGTTGAACAAGTTAAGATTGTAGTGATCAGGGAACAGAACTTAAATCTCCCTAATGGAATACAAAAAGGGAATGAAGGTGGTTTGCTACAATTTGTGTTAAGGTCAGCACTGGTTTAACTAAGGAATGTAGTTAATCTGAACAATTTCCATGGAAATAGTGTCAGAGCAGCAAGAGGTTTGAGACTTTTCATCTGTGGGGAAAGTGGTTGTAAGATGGAAAATAATTCATCACCTGCAAGGACGCAAAGACACTTTTGGTCTCTATTGAGCCTGGAAAGTGAAGATTGGGTAGCTCCTGTCCATATATGACAGAAGTACTCCATTTTCAGCCTCATCTGGCTCTTATAAAGATAAAGGAGAGCAGGAGGAGTCAAAGTGGTACAAGGAATTGACCATATTTTTTCAGTATCTTTAGTTATGGATCATATGTACAAGTTCTACTTGAAGTCTTGGTTCAAGACACAAGGCCTCCCTGAGAGATCACCTGTTCTTCATGATAGGTTAAAATTCAGGATCTGCTCGGTGATGATGTAATGTTACTAGTTTGATTTTTGAGGTTGGAGGTTTGGTTTGAGCTTAAGTCCTAATAAGTGCTCAAGGCACAGGGCCTACCAGAGAGAACATCCATTCATTGATATAAGGGACAATTCTGGGTCCATTCTTTTTGTATATTATGTTTGTATCATTATCATCTGTAAAAGGGGAACTGTGTATTTTTTTCGCAGACATTTTTTTTTACTCATATGCAAATAAATAAAAAGATAATAGTTTATAATTATCGTTAAATATTTAATCTCCTTTTTTTGGCCATCTTTAATCTTCACTCCTGAAAAAAAAAAGAAAAAAAAAGGGTGTGCGAAAAAATTGGTTATTGCTTTGTCACTGCCATTACTTCTTGAGCAATGTTTATCGTTTTAAAAAACGGTAATTAAAATTTTACCAACAATA